TGTTGTGAGGATTTATACGGTTTACTTCATTGAGTTGAATTCCTCATCACTCAGTGAGGTAGGTTCTATTATCTCTACTTTACAGATGAGGACATGAGGCACAGAGAGGTTTAGCTACTAATCTAAAGTCACAAAGAGAGGAGTGGTAGAGTTTGAAAACCCCAAAGCCTAGGCCCAAAGTTTATACCCTGAGTCATGTCAGTGTCCTCTGCATTCACCCACCAAAGGGGTTTTGCGTGCTTTTTATAAAGAGCCAGACATATGGGACAGTTGTCATGCCCTCAACGAGATACCCTCTCACTGTGTGTAGCCTTTGCTGGATGTTATAGCCCAGACCAGCTGAAGCCTTCTCGCCTCTGCCTGATGTGGGACTTGCCTGAGCCTGAGAACTGCACATACTTGGCTCCAGTCTGCCTGTCTGGGGGAACTGGGCCAAGTCACCTGTAGGAAGGAGCAGGGACGGGGGCTTGTCTACTCCAGCTGGCTAGACCTCTGGCTGCCTCCACCAGGCCCTCTTCAGCCCCCCAGGCACCTCTGGGGCCCCTTCTGGGCCAGTAGCTGGAGCTCTTTACCAAGGAATAAAGCCAGTCCTCCAAAATGCTTACATGTGAAGCTGCCCCAGAGCAGAGCCTAGTGCCACCCTCTGTTGCCACCATCTGCACCCCTTCCTGATGTGTGCCTGACCTCAGCCCAGGAGCAAAGGTAGGGGTACACCTCTGAGCCTCCGTTTTTCCACTGGCAAATGGGAATGGGACCTTTTGAGTGCTTGCTCAATGGTCCAATTGGGGCGTGAAAGAGCTTTGCACACTGTATAAAATTCTACAGTGCAAGAGGTCATTGTAGCTACTGAAGGGGTCACAGGGCAAAGGTTGGAGGGAGGGGCTGGTGTCAGAGAAGGCTCCCTGACATCTGACTTGCAGGAGTGAGTTTGCCAAGCAGAGATGGGTATACAATCAGGCATAAGACTGCAAAAAAAAACACAGAGCAGACCCTCTACCCCCATCCCCTCTGCCCTGGTAATTTGGAAAAGCATGAGTGTATGCGTGTGCACACACATACACACATACAAAACCAAGTCACCACAGGTCAGGAATCCTCAAATACCACTGCCTAACAAAGGGGCTGCAATCCCACCCTAACTGAAGCCCCTGCCCCAGGCTGCTGGGGACAAGCTGGATGCTGTCACCACTGAGCTTCTTGCTGCTGGGGAGGACAATACCCCTCTCCCCTTGACAGACGAGACTCACAGAGGTGTCAGGGGGCTTACCCAAGGTTGCTGGGCCGGTGAATAACTGGTGGTGCTTGCACACAGACTCAGTTCTTTGCACTTAATCCCACGAGTACTACACGTACTCTAGACAGAATCGTCTTCGTGAGCAACTGCAGAAGCCCCAAGCTTAGAAGGACCCACAGTTGGTTTAATGCTTTATTGCTATCATCTTGAAATCCTTAATAATTTGTGAACATTGGGCCCTGCATTTTTGTTTTACACTGGGCTCCACAAATTACAAAGCTCGTCCTGATTCTAGGAGCTTTTGAGGGCCACTGTCGGGGGTAGAGGGAAGGGCCAGTGAATGAACTTTCACGTCTCCGGGACTTTACAAGAGCCTCTGCCGTGTCTTCCTTTTCCTTCCACATCAACCTAGCACATTTCTCCTTACCTTCCAGTACCCAACACACCTGTCACCACCTGGAGATCCTTCTCAGATTTCCTCCTTACACATGGACTGACTTGAAGCAGAACCCATGGCTCCCTGTGCCATGGTCCCATACTCTGAAATTGCTAATGGGTGTGAAAGTGGTGCCTGCCTCCCCTAGGACTAGGGCACCCCAGAGCTTCCTGTTGGCCAGGTTTCCAAAAAAATAAGCTAAGGACATTTTACAAAAGGGTATTAGAGGGGAAGTTACTAGATCGTGCTCTGACAGTGGGCCCCAGAGAACAACCCACCTTTTTACATGTAAGAAAACGGACCCTTTTTTTTTTGCCTGGGAACACTGGGCCAGGCTAAAACCCAGATAAATCTGAGGAGCACCCCTGGAAACCTCCTCCAACTTGCAGGAGCCCTGCTGGGGAGAGGGAAGGAGGGAAGAGAAGAGAAGAGGAAGTCTTGAATCTAAGGTGAAGCTGCCACTTCCTGGCTGTCAGGCCCACCAACTCTGAGCCTCAGTTTCCTCTTCTATAAAGCAGGCATGGAATGACCTATCCCTGAAGGGAACTCAGTGGAGAAAAGAGCACAAATTCTGTAACACGAGTGAGCAACTGTCCTTGAGGACTTAACCAACCTTTGCTGTGCCTCAGTTTCCTCATTTAAGGCCACCCTCTCAAGGCTCTTGGGGGGATTTAGTGAGCTCATGCGGGTAATGTGCCAGTCCCCTGCAGGGACTCTAGTGTGGCTAGTATAACAAAACTGGCACCACACACCCCAACTCCCTAGGAGCCCTCAGGGGAAGTGCAGACGGAGCAGAGATGACACAGACCCAACTAGCTGGCTATGCACAAGACTCGGATGGTGCCCAGGCTCCCGAGAGCTAGATGGAGTCCCCACGGGATGAGGAGCAGGGATAAGGCCCCACAGACACCCCCACACAACCCATACCTGCTTTCTTCTTGTAAGAATAATAGTTCCAATCTGTTGAAGCCCTAAAAGAGTCCAGGAACTGTTCTTGGCACCACACATTGGTGGTTGTTAATCCTCACGATCACTCTGTACAGGAGGTGAGGAGTGGATAATGACCACTTCTGTTTCCAGATGAGGAAGCTGAGGCCCAGAGAGGGCAAGAGCTTGTCCATGGTCATATAGCTGCCCTTCAAACCCTTTCCTGACATACATGCAGAGGCCATGGCTCACCCTGGGCCCAGAGCTGCCCAGTGACTGGGGGAGCTGCTGAAAGCTTTTCCAAGTAAGAAGCCAGCGACTCCTGAACAGCCTCTTCTTGTAACGCACCCTTCCTTGTATGTGCCTTATGAGTATGTCCCTGTGTGTGGGGAGTGCCACGAGTTGTGAGAGCTTGTGCCTGTATATCTGTGTGGAGTGCCAACATGAAAGTTTGTGAACATGTGTGTCTGTGAGTGTGTATGTGCATGCAAGTCTATTTGTGTGCACAAGTGTATGTATGTAGCACACCTGAGTGATGTCTGTGTACATATGCCAATGAAGGAGCGTGCTTCAGCACATCTCTGCATGTATCTATCTGTACACACATGTCCTTTCGTGTATGTGTGTGCATACACATCTGTCTATCCTTAGCACGCATGGACAGGTTTACAAGCACATGTATGTCTGTCTGTATGTACGAGTATACAGTGTACATGTGTTTATAGACACAGGTATAACTGTGGGTTGGGAGAATCCTCTGGGATTTGTATATGAATCTGTACTTCTAGATGTTAACATTGTGCCCATGTGTAACTATTATGCCACCCAAATCGTCTTCTTCCTCATGGAAATCTCAGCCCGCTCAGAGACATTCTAGACCACAACCTGGCGTACCTTCTCCAAGAAGTCTTCCTGATTCTAGCCTCCCCACGTTCACCTAGAACTCCAACATTAACCCCCATCCCATATCATGGCAGCTTTCCAACCCTCATGTTCACCACCAGCCCCAGCCAATTGCAAATCCTGCCAACTCCCCTGCCTCCATCTCTTAGGATTTTTCATTCTCTCTTTATGCCCATTGCTCCAGCCCCAGCTGAGGCCTCTGATCTCTTACTGGACCCTGGGGACAGTTCCATTAGTCTCCCTGCTTCTAGCTTGGGCCTCTCCAATGGCCTCTCCATTGCAGCCACCTTCAATAGGCCACTCACTACCTGCCCCAGAAACCTCCAAGGCTCCCACCGTCCTTGGGATCTAATACTCTAGCCTGGCATTTGTGGCCCTTTACGATCTTCCCATACCCTTGATAACCTCATCTTCCTTCCCTCCAGGCTCTTCCACTCATCTCTGCTCCTGTCTCCCACAACGCTACTCACTTCTGAATCACCTGTGCCAGAATGCCCCCATCTGAACTATGAACCCTGCCCACCCCACTGGTACAGAGCTTGCACAACTGTTGTGATCTCCCTGCCTCTCCCCCAGAGCACAGAACGAGATACCCTTTCCTCTGCACCTCAGGGTCTGACATCAGGCCTGGCATACAGGAAGTGCTTAATACAAGCCTGGGAAACCGAGCTTGGGAAGCAGAGGGAGAGAGCCAGCCAATACAATCCTCCTTTAGAAGGGGCCCTGGTGCCACCTTGGAGGCCCCGGAGGCCAGGCCTGGTTCATGTCACATCACATCTACAAATGAGTCATGACACCAGGCAATAAGTAGCCACTGTCACCTTGTAAAAGCCTCCTCCCTTTGCTTTGAGCTGAGACAGGACCCATCACTTCAAGATCGCCTTGTCTCCACTTCTCAGAAAAGGCCCAGAGTGGGGCAAAGCCAGGGGCAGAACAGTCCAGGGATTAGTGCACTGGAGCCACACAGACATGGAATTGAACCCCATGGGGGCTTAGCCAGGTGTGTGACCTTAGGCACATCACTTCCCAAACACCAGCCTTGGTTTTCCTGCCTGTACAATGGCGACGATAACAGCACCTGCCTCACAGGGTTTCTGTGAAGATGAAAAAGTTAATAACTACATAGTACTTAGCACAGGGCCTGACACAGAATTAAATACTAAGAATGCTAGAGGACGTCATGATTATTAGCCTCATATGCAAGATGAGAGAACCGAGGGTCCCAACTGTGGAAGGTCATGGTTATCAAAGAGGTTGGCAGCAGAATGAAAACAAATGTCCAAGTCCCAGGCCAGGGCACAGTCCCTCCACTGTCTGGCTTCCTCTGAGAGGAGGAGGCCAAGAAAGAAGTAAGAACTGAGAAATAAGCCCCTTCCCCCTAATTCCTCAGTGACAGCAGCCCCGCTCCTGGCTCTCTGGGCCCCGAAACAGCACTAGCCACTCGGCTGAGACAACCACCATCAGACACACAGTGCCACACAGGCCAGCCCTGCTGTTTACCTGCTAAGGCCTCTGCCCACGACCAGGACTTGAGGCTGCTGAGATTATCAGGAAAAGGTGGCGAGGGTCAGGAGGCGGTAGCCCTGGCAGTCCGAGCACAGCTGCTGCGAGTCCTGTGGAGAAAGGAGAGGGCACAGTGAGTCCACGCCTGACCCTGCGGGCGGCCCCCACCTCCCTTCACCACCCTCTAGGTCCTGCCTGCCCAGGACCCTCTGGCCATCTCCTGGAAGGTGGAGCTGGCCCACAGAAGTAGAGTCACCCTAGAAACTGATGCTGCCTCTCAACCCCCAAATAAAGACCCACCTCCCGAAGTCTGCATTAGAAGCCAGGAACCAGCCCAGTAGTGAGGTCTGCCCCTCCACATGCTGAGCTGCAGCAGCAGCCACACAGACACAACCCACCACAGTGCTGCAGTCGGCCCAGCCCCGCAGGTCCCGGCCTTGGAACAAGCCAGGTGCTCTGCCTGGAGCCCTTTCCCTCCATTTCTCTGTCTTTCAAAGCCCCACTGGCCTTCAAGATTCCTCTCAGATGCATTCCTGGAGCCCTCTCTGATCTGGCCCTTCTTTCCTTGTTCATTCCCCAGCGGCTTTGGGCCTAGCTGACTATGTCTCCTCCAGCTTTCTACAGGCAGGTCTCCTCTCTGGGCGGAACTCCCAGACATCAGGAATGAGGTCTAGTTTATCTCTCTATTGTCTGAGGTGAGCAAGACCACAGAGACTGCTTGACGAATGGATAAATGAATGAATGAGTGACTGATGAATGGTGCTATAAAGGTATGCAGTGAACAAGTTGAACAAAATTGGCTGACTGATATGTACTTTGAAATCAGGAAGCTGCCTGAGCTCTCCAAGGGCTTCCTCATGCCCTTCCCTCTGCTGTATTCTAGAATACAGGGTTCAGGATGGTGAGAGGAAAGAGACTTGGGTGACATTGATACTTCCCTCTGTCCTTCACTAATGAGAGAACTAAGGCCCTGACAGGGGACGAGTTTCCTCCGATGGTCCTGCAGCAAGAGAGCTATAAGGCCAGACGTAGAACCCAAGAATCCTGGCTTTGCCCACTGCCCGGAGCTGTCATGGATGGAGGCTGCCATGGCAGTCCCCCCAGCTCCTGAGTCCTCATGTGTCAGTTCCTGCAAGCACCTAGCTTCCCGACTGTTGGGGGATCAGGCCAGCCATGGAAGGCAGCTATGGATAAATGAGAAAGGGCAGTGGGAGGACCCTGGGGTAAGGAAAAGTACAGAGATCACACTCAGAACAGGGCTATCTTGTCTGACGGCCCTAACTTCTCCCAGTCTGGAGGCCTGAGGCAGAGAGGAAACATTACAGGGAGCCCCAGGGTAGAGATACCCCTCTAGGTATCTTCTCCAGGAGGGGGGTCTTTCTAAAACCCCCGTTGACCACCTCACTCCCCTCCACCAAGCCTTCCTGGGCCTCCCGAACACTGCTAGTGAGGCGTACCCTGCTCTTCGTCTTGTAGGACAGCTGGGAGTGTCTGCAATCCCATAGTCTATCAGTGACCTAGTATTTCCACTTCCACAGAAACATGGCCATGTGGTCACCCAAAGATAGGTACGACTTCTATCAAGGTGCTTGCAGGCACTGACACATGAGGACTCAGGAGCTGGGGGGACTGCCATGGCAGCCTCCATCCATAACAGCTCCGGGCAGTGGGCAAAGCCAGGATTCTTGGTTCTACGTCTGGCCTTGTAGCTCTCTTGCTGCAGGACCATCAGAGGAAACTCATCCCCTGTCAGGGCGTTAGTTCTCTCATTAGTAAAGGACAGAGGGAAGTATCAATGTCAACATTCACAGCAGTGCCATTCATCATGGCCGAAAAACGAAAACTTCCCAAATAGCCATCAACTATGGGATGGATAAATTGATATGCATGCAATCGAATACCACACAGCAACTAGAACAAATGATTTGCAACTGTATCCAACACTAGAGACCAGAAAACCCAGACACAATGCAGAACATGCCTAAGGGGTCCGTTTAGATAAAGGTCAAGAAGAGGCAAAGCTACTCTGTGCCATGGAAATTAAATATGGCCACAGAATCTTTGCAGCTCTTCTAATCAAGAGGTGGAGTCTATTTGTCACCCCTGAATCTAGGCTGGCCTTGAGACTTGTTTTGACCAATAGGATTTGGTAAAACTGTCATTTTGTGACTTATAGAGAGCAGGCCTCAAGAGGTCCTGCCATTTCTGGCCTTGGCCCTCTTGGACTGCTGTCTGGCCATGGAAGGAAGCCTTTTCGCCTAACTGGAGGATAAAGAACTGTGGCTGCCCAGCCAACAGCCAGGACCAACTGGCAGACACGACTAAGGCCTTCTTTGACCTTATGGTCCAGCTGGCCCTTCAGGTAACTGGAGTCACATGAGCCCAAGGGATACTGGCAGAGGGACTGCCCAAGTTAACCACAGAATTATGAGACATAGTAAATGGTGGTTCTTTGTTTTAGGCCACTAAGCTTTAGGGTGGTTTCCAGGTAGCAATAGATAACTGACAGTAGGCTGCTGGAAGTTAGGAGGGTCGTTATCCTTGAAGGGGAGCAGTGACTGGAAGGGTGCACATGGTGAAGGGCACATCTGGGGAGTCTGGACCGTTCTGTTTCTTGATCTGTGTGGTGGTGATATGAGTGTGTTCATTTCATGACAATTTGTCAAGCTATACTTAAGATATGCACGTTTTTCTGCATGGATGTAGTACTTCAATAGAAGCTAAAAACAAACAAACCGTCTGTGGTTCTCCGCCCGCCCAGTGTACCAGATCCAGCTCCACCCTGCCCTGCCTGCTTCCGCTCACTCTTCTATGCACACTCAAAGGGCCACCTCACACCTTTGCACCTGGGAGGCCCTTCCCCTTCCTATTGTGCTTCAAGCCTGAGGGCAGATGGCACCTCCTCCTGGAAGCCTTCCCTGACCTCCCCAGGCCTTCCTCAGGTGTCCATATTCACACAGTTCTCTCTCTGGGACTGGGTCTTCCTGAGTGTGGGGTTAAGTCTTTCTCTTCTGTCTCCCCAAATTTTAGCACTCTCCAAGCATGGGCCCTGTCAGGGATAGGCAGCACTCTTCTTCTTCCCCCAGAGTCACTACCCCCTACGGTGATGCTGTGATGATCAGAGCAGGCTTCAGAGTATGAAGGGGTAGGGAGGACTGGCTATCACAGGTCCAGACTATAGGCCAGCACCTCACCTGACCCGGGCTTCTCCTTCATAGATCAATGGCGGGGATGAATTTGGGATGCGAAAGGGACTACAGAGTGGGGGAGGACCTCAGAGGTCCCCTGTTTCGCAGTAGACAATGACATCCGTGAAATGTGTACCACTCCTCTCTTAATTATCTATTAAGATAAAACAGCAAGGTGACTGGCAGTGAGTGCTGCATCTCTGCCAAAACAATGCGAACGGCCAGGCAAAGCAAAGGAGAGCTATGATGCTAGACAGGCATAGGCTCCGCCTGATACCTTTCTGTGTACTCATCTCCATCAACGCTGAGCCAGCAGGTAGAAACCCACCCACAGTCCTCATGTGACCTGGGATGGGGTCTCAGCTGACTCCCAGTCCCAGGGCCTCAGTTCCAGATGTCTCTCTCTGGGCCCCCCGCCCCATCTTTGCAGTTCCAGCTCTGTTCTACTTGGATGTGTGACCTTGGGGGAGCCCCCTGTGGTCTCAGTTCCCCCACTCTTATCTGAGAGCTCTTGCTTAGTCAACAATCTCTGATGAGACACATTTTTCTCTCCTGTTGGAGGACTGGCCCCACAGGCCAGGACAATTCTGAGGCCCAGCACTCTTTCTGCCTCCCTCAGGGTTCCCACTGTGCTGCCAGTGGTACCTGTCAGCAGCAGGCTGATGTGCCCACTACAGTACACCAAGAGCAGGCCACATCACCATGTTACCTGTCTGCCCCTGGGAAGGGGCACCCAGGCCTGGAGGGGAGAGTCCCTCCTCACCTTCATGCCTGGCTCTCCCTGGGGCATTTTTTATGGTACCCAGAGCCCTTTACTATGAAAGGAAGCTCCTTGCCCAACAGAGAGGCATAGATAACCCAGGAGAGGCAGTCTCTCTTGCAGAAGAGGTAACTCTATGCACATGAGGACAGCTGGATGGGTCTAGCCAAACTCAGAAGAAACTCTGGACTGAAGCACACTTTCCATAGGTGGGGATGTGCTGTCTCACAGGTAAGGAGTGCCCCATCTCCAGCGACGTGCAAAAAGGGGGAGCGGCCATGTGGTGTGCTGTGGGTGCTGTAAGCATCAGAACTGAAGCTGACCTCTATATTTCCCAAACTCCTCTGATGATAAGAATCACCTGGGCTGCTTGTTAAACCCGCAGTTTCCCAGGCCTCTCCCCTGAGAATGGAAGTCTGTGGGCCTGGAATGCAGCCCAGAAATTTAAATTTTTAATAAGTCCTCCCAGGTGATCCTTTGCATCTGGAAAGTTTGGGGGAGCAGTGGCAGATGACCTTCCAAATCCCTTTGAGGCCAGAGATTAGTGATTCTGAGACCCCAATCCACACCATCCCTACCCCATCTGGAAGATGCAGCCAGTAGCAGACTAACTGCATAATTAAAATAAAAATGATTTAAAAGCTTCAGAAGGGGGCAAAGATGTCAGGGGGAGGGGGGTTCTCAGTCCATGGTAGTACCATGCAGCAGCTCCTTCTTAGCCCCACCCCCCCACAAGGCTCCCCAGAGTCATCCAGAAAAGCTCAGCGTTAGTGGGGGGAGTGAGCTGACAGCTGTTCAGCTGCTGCTCAGTGAGACCCGGAAAAGCAATTATCTTGCTCTTAGCAGAGAGGCACTGGCTTTTACCCGCCCCCTCCCTCCTCCCTGCCC